CACACACACACACACACACACACACACACACACACACACACACACACCAATCCTGTGGAATCTATGGTCAGCTCCTCCTGACTGTGAGACTTGCCCCGGAATGGCCGCCACTCCAGTATCACTCCCTTGGAGAAAACTGACTTTCTGACTCCCAGCAGACACAAACAATAGTTCAGTTGTTAACATCTATCCTAGGGGCTAGTTTCATTCATTCATTCAGTTTTAATATTGACAAAAACTATAAAATCAAATTTTGACAAGACAAACTAACAGAAGAAAAAAATCCTAAGAGAAGGCAGAAGAATCAGAGACCTACTCAAGTACACATTCAGAGGAATCCCATAAAAACACTAAACTGTGAGAAAGACTGGTGTGGGCCATGTTCATGCTACTTTAGTCACTGTGAGAGTTTATATGAGCTTTGATTTCTTGATTTAGAGGGCCTTGTTTCCTTGGTGTCTTCCATTCCCTCTGGCTCTTACACCCTTTCTACCTCTTCTTTCATGGGGTTTCTTGAGGTCTAAGGGGAGAGATTTGAGGAGACCTTCCATTTAGGAATGAGTGTTCCAAGGTCTCTTACTCTGTGCTTAATGTCTGGCTGTGGGTCTCTGTATTTGTTCCCATCTGCTGCAGGAGGAAGCTTCTCTGATGTTGGCTGTGCAAGGCACTGATCTATGAGTACATCAGAATGTCATTAGGAGTCATTTCATTGCTACTTTTTCTTGTTGTTTCTGTTTTGAGACCAGAATTTTTTAGTTTACCCAAGGACTCTGTGCTGACTAGTTTCAAGTTCTTATTTGCCCAAGCAGTGATGGCTATGGGTTCCCTCTTGCAGAGTGGGCCTTAAGTCAAGTCAGTTGTTGATTATTCCCACAAGCCAGCATTGTTCAGCATATTTTGAAGACAGTACTCCACAGTAGATTAAAGCATTTGTAGCTAGTTAAGTGTTTATGTTTCTCCTTTGGTAGCATAGAAAGTAATTTCCCAAACCAAACACGCTAGAACATAGGGGTGGAGACTCTGTGTAAGCACGAGATGGACATCTCAGTGTTCAGGGAGTTGTGTAGGTATTGTCTTCAGCAATAGGGCCTTCTGTCAGTTTGTGGAGAGTGGTATATGTGTAATCTTGGCAACAGCCTCAGCTGTTTGGGAATATTGAAGGTGCCCATTTGGCCAGCACCCCAATTAGATATAACCCAGTTCCTGTCCTGGAAACTTCTTTAGTAACCTAAGATGTCCAGTTGAGACTCTGTATTCCCTTTATTTGGTGATTTAATTTAGATCACCTCTGTATGTGAATATAATTTAGGAAGTTTTGACTCTTTTAGGTTTCCATATGACCCCCCCCCCCAAATGCTCCTTAATCTTAGATGGCTTTCCTTGTATTCGCACCCAGAACTCCCTCTCCCCAACTCCCCTTTTTTCCTTTTTTTAAACTTTTATTAATTACACTTTATTCACTTTGTATCCCCCATAAACCCCTCCCTCTTCTCCTCCCAATCCCACCTTCCCTTCCCCTTCTTCCTGCATGCCCCTCCCCAAGTCCACTGATAAGAGAGGTCCCACTCTCCTTCCTTCTGATATTAGTCTATCAGATCACATCAGGAGTGGCTGCATTGTCTTCCTCTGTGGCCTTGTAAGGCTGCTTCCCCCTCAGGGGGAGGTGACCAAAGAGCAGGCCAATCAGATTATGTCAGAGGCAGTCCCTCTTACCAT